GTGGAGATGGCCAGCCAGAGGTAAGGTCCCCTTTGGTCTGTGAGCCCAGCTTGCAGTTGGAGCTGCCATTTTTCTTGAATTTTCTTCAATCTATCTTGGCTTAAAAATGGCTCTAAGTTTGCAAGCAGCCTTGTTTGCTGTCTCCCTGAAATTTTAAACTCTCTACCTATGCACAGGAACTARTTACGTTATGTCATAGTGCAGAAAAGAAACTGTAGAATAGGAAACTCAGCAAGATTTTCCAATGGCCATGGGTACCTGTGGCCAGCTGAGGCTATTGCATAGCCACTGCATGGATGCATCATTGGGCATATGGTGTGCTGGAAGATGGGACACACACATTCAAAGTTCGTCTGTCCTATGTTCTGCTTCTGTTGCGCACCTGAGAGCAGATGTTGCACACCTGAGAGCAGAGATTTTAACATAGACCRGGAAATTATCTGTTTTTTCCTTTGGTATTTCCTTACAGACATTGTTCTCTGGGAAACCAGACCCAGACCTCCAGCAGCGCAGCAGGAAACAGCACCACCAGCAACGCCGACAGCAGCGTCCTCAGCTATGAAGACACTACACTGTGGCCACTGTCCACTGTCAACTGCATCATCGTGGCCTTCGTCTTTTCCAAGGGGAAGCCCTTTCGCAAGCCCATCTATACCAACTGTAAGTAGAGGTGCATGAATTAACCTGTGCTCCATAGACTCACATTCCTGCCACAAAATATCCCTGACAAGAGAGGCTGCTAGGAAACTGATGCTATGATTTTATTTGTGCCCAACAACTGACTGGCATGTAAAATAACTGTTGATTTATGTCAGCTCCCATTGCACTATCTCTGAAGCAAGCTCAGCTACCACCTCTTATATTAGCTTCTTCCTTGAAATAATAAGCAGCACATCTGAAAGAGGTGACTGTGTCTTCATTTGGAAAATATATGCTTTCCAGATGATGTGCTGGACTTATTGCCAAGTCTATATATTACTGTGAACACAGATAGCAAACAAAAATGAGATGTATTTGCCTGGAAATCCACAGAGCTACTCTCTTGCCTTGCCTGACCTCCATTCCTAGAGATGAGAAAGAAAAGCCTATGATGCAATTACTGTTCAAATCCTCTCCTGATAATCCTTCTTTTCTATTTGAGTTTTGCACAGATGACTTAGCCCTGCCAGCCTCCAGGTACTGATAGCTCCTTTGCAATTGCAGCTTTTTACTCGCGATAAGCAGGACTTGATTTAACCTTTGCAGTAYTGGATTTCACTCGGTATTTTGGGAAAAAGCAGGTCCCAAATGTTTCACAGAGCACTGATCACCTGTAGAAGATAGACAGCTTTCTAATGAGGACTTATGACTAATAGCAATGCCTTTTTGAGGTGGCTTCCAGTGATTGTGTAAGAATTGCTTGTGCAGTAAAATCAGTACAAAACTCGTGCAAGTGGAGGGCTTTGCAGCAGGCTAGTGGAGAGTAGCTTCCAGATTCCAGTTCTTTTCTGTGACAAAAGTAGGATTTTATGGACTGGCAATTTTATATGAGCACTTGGGGCTCCTATCAACACACGTGCAGAGTTGCAATTATTCTGGTCACACCACCACTGTTCTCAGGGCCACAAATGCTCTTGTTTCCCCAGATGTGTTTTCAGTTTTACTGGCCCTCCAGCTTGGAATCTGCCTCTTCCTCTTCTTTGCTGACATTGATGCTGTGTATAGTGGCATGCAGGTAAGCTTAAATGAAAAGTCCTTTCATGCTGCATGTTTCATTGGTCCTGTACCTGAGCACACAGTCCAGGAGCTACAGCTCCATCAATSAGGCATTCATATTCTCCTATGAACCCTGGGCATCAATAGGGAAAAGTGCTCATACTTGCTGCCCTTATTCCATAATAGCAAAGCACAATCATGTTGACTGTATTGTGGCATGCGGAGAGGCTGGAGAATCTGGCTGGGGAAGGGAGTGGGCAGGGAATTCTGCAGCGAGCCTGAGCAGTGCAGCAGGGCTACTCCTGTCCTGGCACCAAAGCCAGAGCGCTCCGGGGACCTGAGCGAGGGTCAGAGCACAGGCAGCAGCTTCCAGAGGCGCAGCCCAAACATGGGGAATGGGCTGCAGAGAGCTCGGGACAAGGACCAGCCCTTACTGCAGCCTGGGCGGCTCGTCCCCAAGCAGGATCTTGAACCAGAGGGTTTTTTTTAGTGTGGGAGCCTGGCATTAGAATTAGCTTGCAGAGGACGGGATTTATACTTTGCACATTAGTTGTTACTCCCCAGAAGTATTTAGCCATCTAATTCTGATCCAGACACCTGATCACTGGTTTCAGTAGTAGTTTCAGTAGCCAAGGTGAGTTAAGCACCTATATACCCTAGAGAATGTGGCCTCAAACTTTCCAAAATCTCTATGACAAGAGATATTACTGTTATTTCTTACTGCCTCCTTTATGCTTGCCATTGGAAAAATGTTAGTCAGCCTCTTCAGTCACTGGGAACAGATGCAGATCTTGGCAAGGCATTTAAACCTAGCTGTGGTTCATGTCTTTTTCAACAGTTCCTTTGCACTCCTGTGATCTGGCGAGTTTATGTCTTATTGATGCTCTTGGCCACCTTTTGTGTATCTTTTTTTACAGAGGTGAGTACATTTATTTACCTCCTTTATCCCTGGGAATAAACAAGAGCAGTTTCTTTCTTCCCTTATTAGCAGCCRCATGCTCTTCCTGCAGAAGCATAAATCCACAGGCCTTTGCTTTTTTCCTCCCTCTCCTGTGTCAATCAAATCCATTTTATGCAGCACCAGAGGCTTTAGACAAAGTCTCACAAGTCTTCAGGGAAAGGAATGAACAAAGCGCTGCCATAAGGAAGCCCCCTCTTCCCTAATACTCACGAGGAGCAGGACTGGCTCTGGGGATGGCAGAGCAGGCGGCTGCACATGCAGATGCCTGATAGTGACTTTAAAGCCCCTTCCCTCTTGATCTCAAATTGCCCAGCTAGAGACTGCACTGGGTAGTGCAGCTGAATATTTCCGTCATTAAAAAGAAAAGAGACAAGCTCACAAATCATGTGGGTTAGAGCTGGCTGTGTCTCACTAGGCGAATCACGGAGCAGTATCCAGAACTGGGTAATGTTCCTTGCAAGGAAATTGGGGCATGCAGTCCTGCTGCAGCCCCAGGAAGAAAACCTTCTAAATTCCCCTGCTGTAGAGATGCAACTAAGCTCTCTTACTATGAACAAARGAGTGTGATGTCCACATAGCAATTGGCAACTATTTCAGTGAACGTGAGAACATGCAGATGCCCAAAGTTATGCTCCTGTTGCCTGTAAGAAGAGAGGCTTGGGGGATTTTGCACATATAACACGGGATAGTTTGTGTCTGCTAAGCACCTTTCCCTCTCCAGGGCGAACGTCGGCACTAACGCTGCCCTCTGTCCCTCCACAGGACGTTATCTTGCAGAACAAGCAGCTCTGGTTGCTGCTTAAAACCTTGTTTGGATTCCAGTCAAGGAGCAAATATCGGAAATGGCAGAGGAAGCTGCAAAAGGATCCGAACTGGCCTCCTTTAGATGCAAAAGACTTTGCAACAAAAAATACAGATGAGGTTTACATTAACCCAATATATGAACACAATGAAGAGATCTAGGGGCGAGGCCCTATAGCTGCGGATGGGACTGCACAGTGACTGGCTTGAGGGGAACAGTCCCTGCTTTCATCACTTGATATACATAAGTCTCAGATTTTTGAAATGGATGAAGGAACTAAGCCTTTCATAGGCAAACTGAAACCAGGAGCCCTGGAGCACAGACAAGTAGTATTCTCACAGCTGCTGGTAAAATAACAAGTTTGCTTCTACTCTGTGGCCACAGCTGGTCTCAGACTTTGCCACTGTTCACTGCGAAGTCTCAAGGAATACTGAATGAAGTGCAGCAGTGGTATCTACTGCATCCTATCGTTATCCCACTCTGGTTTTTGGCCACTGCTCCACCACATCCTGTCAATGTAGCCTCGGAGCTTGAGGGGAAGGCAGATAAAAATCTGCGGCCTAGTCCTGACTCCATAAAACAGCATATGTACATCTGCAGCACCCATCACTAAATGACACCCTGCAGCTCCTGAGGCCTACAAGAAAGGCTCACATGCCATGCAATTCTAGCTCTCTTCCATCCTGTAGTGAATTATAGATGTGACAAGAGGGTATGTGCATTGCCTGACCTGCCCCCCACCCACCCACTTTAACAGTTCTGGCACAAATGTAACTCACTGGAAACAGAAAAGGCGTGAGCTGTCACCTCAGGCTGGGAAAGCCAGCAAAGGATTCACCACAGGGATATGTCCCACTCAAGTCTGCAAAGCCTCAGAAAGAACAAGCTGCCTCACCATGCACAAACCACCCTCTCCTAGGCCTGGTTTGTGCCCTGCTACAGCCCTGGCCAGGGGAGAGTGGGCCAGAAAACCCACAAGCTTCTTCCTCGCACCTGAGCAACTGAAGGAGGGACCAAACCTGTTTTATCTTAGCTACTGATACTGCAGCTTTTGCTAACTCAGGCTCATAGACTTTGATAATGACACTCCTGAGAGCTAAATGCTGTTCTCATTTGATATCACACACAACTACCATTTTCAAGGACTCGCTCTGTGGAAAGCAGCACTGAGCCTTGACTTTCTGTTTTCAATGGGTCATGCCAAGAAGCAAGGGTTTAACATGCTCTRGAGCTCAGCTGCTATACAGGTGCAATAAAATGAACCCCTCTAGATTAGCTTTCTCATTTTTAATTTTCCAGTGACCTAATTAGTTAGTCATAAAAGAACTTTTGATTACATTTGCAGCAACCAAGAAAGTCTTTCAGGTTCAGATTTATTATAATGTGTTTCCCCACATTAAAAAAAGAAGACTTCTATTYAAAGGTAATAATTGAGGGCACTACAAAATAGGACCAGAAGTCTTTGCCTTGTTATTTCAAACACTGGAACAACTGATGTTTAAAAAAAGCTTCTGATCCAGTTATGCACATGGTAAAAGCAGACAAAAATAGCAAGCCTCTTGCAGACAGCTCTTTTGCTCTCATATCTTCCTGCAGTCCAGGCAGTGGCACATGGCCAAAGCAAGATAGGTTAAACTTCTTATATGCAGTCTGCAAATGACATGATTCCAAAAATGCAAACCAAATGTTTCCTTCAGGCAGTAAAAAAAAMCCACAACTTTTTATAGTAGTTTTCTTATGAGACAAATTGCACATCAACTTTGTGACTGGGAAATAGCTGGACTCTCCAGGTTTTGTGAGATGTCACTTAGATGCTGCACAGGTGCTGACCAAGCACAAGCTCGGTCAGGTCCAGTACGAGCAGTTACTGAACTTAATGGATGAAGAGAGAAATTTCAGCTGCACAGTGTTCCCAACCTGGAACAAACACTTGCCAGACAAAAATCTAGTTGATTTGTTTGTTAGAGTCCCCACAGCAGTCAACAGGTGGGGGGCTCCCTAATGCCCCCTAATTACTGCTCCCTGATGGAGTCAGAGGAAACAGGAAAGGGGACATTTTGCAGGTGGAAGAAAACCAAGCAAGACACCACCACGTCAAAAACAAAACACCAAATTAAAACACTAAGGGAGATGTCTTTTAAGACTTGCCCTTCCTTTCTGCCTTCCTCATTCTCAAGAGCAGCTCAGAGTTTAGGAACTGCAATACAAGGACAAAGATGTAGTATTGTCTTGTAGTATTGTCTTGTCTACCATTTTTACCATTTCACAGGCAGACTCATKCAGGTCTAGGCAGCTGCACAGTCCATTAGTTGGAGCAATAGTTGCCACATTACTTTTAGCAATATTGGTATGTTACTTTTGTTCTCAAAACAATGTAAAAATATTTCTTCAAACTGTTTTTAAAAGTTATTAACAAAATAGTTCAGAGGAACCAGGTTGTAAAAATAGCATGTGTAGAAAGACGTTTGCAAGATCACTGGATCAGTCCTCAGCAAAGCAATAAGTGTGTGTAAGTGTGTGTGTGTGTGTATATGTGTGTATAAGTTAGTAAATCTCAGTTGCAGCCACATCCGTGAGCTGTCCTGGTTCCATCCCAGCTAGGGACGCAGCTGCCCTGCACTGACCGGCTGTCCCGCGAGTCCGTCAGTACTGTCTTTCTCTGAATCTTCTCCGCAAAAGGCCCAGCAGGTAGAAGGCATTAGCAGCAGCCGTTACAAACCCAATGGCACCAATCGCTCGGTTGGCCTGCAAAGGGAAAGCAAAACAGAGACTGGAAACCCTGGGAGCTATGGAGCTTTTTTTTTTTTTTTTTCCTTTTTTTTCTTTTTTCTCTAGCACGCCAATGAGGACCAGGCAACCACAAATGAGAATTAATCGAATATGAGAGATACACACACACCTAATAAGCAGAACAGGACAGACTTCAGGCCTACACCCTTCAGCAAGAGGTGCTCAATGATAGGGACTCTACTTTAGCTTAGCCTATTAGCAAACCCTGTGGGTCTCAGCAAGACTGGGTGCAATGACTATTTAGACTCAGCACCTGGCTATGACCCAGTCCAAGGACTCATAAAGGGAATTTAAGCATATGCTTCACAAGGAAGGGCACCACAAGCATGCACACAACTATCCAGTGTTACTCACCTGCTCAGAGACCCTCTCTCCGTAGCGGAGCAGTGTCACAAAGTGCTCGCAGTTGTTGCCAAGCAGGTCGTAGGACACTTCCTGGTCAATGTAGTACTCGGCCCGCCGGATGATCTCCTCCACGGGGAGGGGAGGGTAAGTGTTGTCATACTTGTTGTTGATTTGGTAGGTGTCATCTCCCACCACATCCTTCAGAAGCTGCATCCTTACCCGGGCCTTTCTGCTGAAGACTGACTTGGCACTGGCGAACGATGATGAAGGCCCTTCGTCTGGGGAAGGCAGGGTTGGGATGAGCCAGAATGKCCCATTCCTGCCCCTCCAGGATCCCAGAGCAATTTCTGTCTGGCTTCTGGAAGTCCTAATGTGCAATACCTGCCTGGAGGCCCCTGTGTATGTTGGTGTCTCCAGGGGCAGCTAAGGGAAAGGAACCTGTATGCAACCTATATACAACCCACAGAGCACCGAGGGCTGCAGTCCTCCCCAGCCACAAGCCTACCCCAGGAAAAGATGTGCAACCCCCTTTTCACAAACCTCTGGAGACTACAGCCCCTCTTACAGGGTAGATCAAGGGCTTTTCTTGCATGGCAGAGAAAAATCTTGAGATACAACATGTCTATGCTCCACTGTGGGCAGACTCTTGAATCAGCCAAAGATAAGGACGTGCACAAGGTCACAATACGGGACACCATTGTGCCTGCCTTACTCACTGCATCTTCATCCTCATTGTAATGCTGTCAAGAAACCCAAAGCTGCTCAAAGTCAACTGCTGTTCTTAGAACAAGGACAGGTCCCTGGACCACCCAAGGCACCGTGCAGGCCTTACCTACAGGCGTCACATTGATGATGTAGCCATCCCCCAGGTAGAGGGCCCAGTGCTGATAAGCTGGCCGGAAAATCTCGATCAGGTCCCCAGGCTGGGGGTTGCCGGGGTTCGCGGCGCTGAACCTCCCTGTAGCTGCCATCTCGGAGGGAGGAGTTGGTGCCGCTCAGGACATGCCGCTCTCACCGGGCAGRCTCAACACAACACAAGGCCCAGAGGAGCGGGGAGGTCTGGTGTACACAGGGTCCATTTGCTTAGAAATTACAGTAGAAAAAAACGTTAGGGCACAGCACTGACCAGCTGCAACCCACCTGTGCCACATCCTGTCCAGTGGCCAGCAGGGACCACCCAAAGGATGCTGCCAACTGCTGCAGGGCCCCCGTCCTGCAGCTCCTGGCGCTGCCAGCCTGCAACACGCTGACATTTCATTGCAGACATGGCCACCACCCTGGGGAATCACTGCGGGTGAAGGGGGAAGCTGTGTGGCTGTGCAGCAGCACCTCCCGCCACTGCAGGCCAGGGCAGGACTTGATGATCTTGAAGGTCTTTTCCAACCATAATAATTCAGTAAGYCTATGAGTCTGCTCCATGCTGCCTGTCCCTGCAGCCTGCAGCACAGCACGGTGCCTCTGTCCTGTGGCGAGGCGCGCAAGAAGCCTCAGCTATTCACACTGCCTCCCCACTGCAAGCCTCCAGCTTGTCCCTCCCCGACCAGTCYCGCTCCCGCTCGTTTTGAGGCCCTGCTCGAGCCGCCACAGCAGGTGCTGGCGCTGGGCCTGCTCTGCTGCAGGGTCACAGCACCCTAAGGGCCCCAGGGTGCAGCAGCAGGGCTGGGGACAAAGGGACACCCGGGGGGTGCAGGGGTGACACTGTGCAGCTCTGGGATGCTGGTGCAGCTGGGGCCGGTGCCCCACAGCAATGGGACACCCCRGGAGCTGGACAAAGCCGGGCCTGCCACCCCACAGCGCTCACCCAGACCCAGCACCGCGAGTGGGGCTCCATCCCACTGCCCGCTGCCCCTTCCTACCCCCCCGGCCCCCCCCGGGGCCCTGCTTACCCCCAGCGCCCGTCCTGCCGCGGCCGTGCCCAGGCTGTGCCCCGGGCAGCGCCGAGCGGGGTGGCAGCAGATGCTGGCCCAGCTCCCGGCTCCTCCTGGCTGCTATAAATAGCAGCGAGCGGGCGGCCGCGCTCGCGCCGTCCCTGGAGAGCGGCCTGCCAGGCAGCCGGCTGCGCCAGGCCGGGGACACTCACCTCCCCAGTGCCTTTCTAAAAATGTCCTTCGTGTCGCAAAGCTCCTCCTGTCCCCCGGGAACATGGGCCGTCTCCTCCTCACAAAGAGCTGGTGTCACGCTGCTCTGGGCCCCGCCGGCCTCAAGCACGGGCTGCGGCGCATGGAGCAGGGGCAGCGGCCCTGCAGGGCCCSGGGGTAAGTGAGCATCTCCGATGGGAAGATTTTTGGAGAGGGAGGCAGAGCGGAGCTGCTCTTTCGCTTGTCTGCTGCCAAGGGAACATTGTGGAGGTGGAGCTCAGTGTAAAATTGCTGTTTTAGGGAAAAGAGATTTCTCATTTGGCTTTTCACAGTTTCCCTACTGTGGCCTAGGGGTTTCCTTCAGGATGCTGAAAGGGCCGCAGGTCTGAGCCTGTTCCCAAGGTGAGGCTCGGAGCGGCGGGGCGGGAGGCAGAGACGCCCTGGGCGCAGGGGGCAGAGGCGGCTGCTGCCCTCCYGGCTCTTTGAAAAGGGGACCGGCTGCCCCGGTCAGTGGCTCTGTGCTCAGCCTGGGCTGAACTAAGCCTGTATTAAAAGGCAGAGCTTAAAAGAGAGGTGAAAGAGCACGTGCRTTATAGGAAGATGAAAAGACCAGAGCAGCAGAAGGTACAAACGTGTGGCTGGTCGGGGTAGCCTCCCTGTTTGGCCCGGCATTGCCACAGGCGGACAACAGTAACGCAGCATGATTTGTTCCCTGCCTGKCTTCCATCGACAGGCGATAGTTAATCCAGTGAAGCACTAAATTGCAGCTCTGCTTTGTGCAGCACCTCCTGTTTCYGGTCTGAAGTATTTACAAGGCTTTGCAGTGGAAAACCAAGGGAATTCTTGTAGTATTGAAATAACAGAGTGTATCCATGGAAACACAGGAATCTGCTTTACACAGACACATACAGGTCCTGTTGCATGAAAGTGCTCGAGCTGGGASCCTGCAGGATACAGAAAGAGCGGCCTTTGCCCTCCCTTGCTGCAACAGAAGGGGAGCACAGTCAGCACCACACAATACTCCCAGAATTGCACCATCGGCAAGTGTGAGAGAGCAATAGGAAGCTGCTGCTGAACACGCAGGAAAGATGCGTTTATAAACACTGTGAAATTTCATCATAAGGTTATCAGTTGATTTGTGCACAAATAGGTCTCTCATACTGATGAATTCTCATTATATGATGAGGCTGAAAGCCCCTTTCCATTCACATCCACCCCTAAATAGCTGTGTGTTGTTCATGTGCAGACAGCTGGCACATTCTTGAATGATCCAAGCTAAAATTCCTTTTATCCACCTAACCATTCATGGAGGTTACAAATATTCTTTGGCTCACAAAAAGCATGAGTTTATGGGTACAAAGGAAAGGGAAGGGAGAAGGTGTATATAATAACTATAATAATAATTGACTTTGGGGAAGAAACAATGGGAAGACCACGCTGTTCCTCATCTCTACCCTAATCAAAAGGGAACCTGCATAGAACAGAAAAAGAATTAAAGAGACTGTGATGAAACTTCTCTTATGCCTCAAAGGCTTCACTCATGGTACTGGAATTATCCTTAGGGCTCACACAAGACCTAGGTATGATCTCATTCCAACAAGCTAGATAAGAGAGGTCTGTCATGGGATAGATGTCTCAGGTGCTGTAATTTAGCCTTGCCAGAAGCAGCTTTGATATTCTGTTTTTCGGGGGCCCTCAGCATGGGTTTAGGATGGAGCTGATGCAGATCTCCAGTGAGGCTCATGACACTGTGGCAACCTCAGAATTTGCAAAGACCCCCAAGAAAACCAACAATCTTCCTCAAAACAAGAACCAACCCCTCGCTGAGAAAGSAGTTAACAGGATGATGTTCTTCAAAGGGTGTCTGTTATGTGACACTTCGCTTTGTTCCCACAGGCACAGGGAGGATGACAGTCCTCATTCTCATCTGCTCCCTCCTTATCATAAGAAGGAAGCTGCTGTTCAAATAATCATCTCTTTCCACCCAGCACTCCCAAGCAGGAGGTGTCATCCCTTTTACTATGTCTGTCATCAGACAGGCTAGGTGTCTTCATATAGATTTCCCTCTAGAGCTGAACATYCCTCCTCAGAAGAGGAACAAGAGCTACATAGTCTCTAATAAAAATCAGGAGCCCTTTGCTTCATTATAAGCTTATGATTTCAAAGGTCTTCAGCAAATGCAATGTTTTATTTGGATTTTTTTTCTTCTCAAACTATTAGAAATATTATTAAAATACAAGAGAATAAAGTAATACAAATAAATGTGAAAAAATGTTATCTAGAATATGGGCTTTGGGGTTCATTTTGATCAAATGCAGTGTTCTCTATGCAGCCATAATCTTGCTCATATACATGGTCATTCAGTGAGTCTCTGGAGCGGCTGAAAGATGAGTTCCCAGTTTGGGCTGTTCTGTCCAATGAAAATGTTTCCGTCTTCCCCCTTCTGTCAAAAAAAAAGACAAAAAAACGCAGCTTCAATTTCTGTTCTTAACTGTAGTGGAAGGCCAAAGACTAATGTGAGTATGAATAAACAAAGAGTGGTGTGAAGCCAAATTTTGCCAAATTTTGAAGATTCCTACGTTTTGTGATAGTGATGCATAGGCCTTATGTAATAAAAATGGCATATGTTGATTCCTGTAGACAAAGGTTAGTTTTCCCTCGTATTCCTCAACTGAGCTCCTGAATGCTCTGGTTCCTCTCTGGTCCTGCCATTATGTGGTAGTAGGAATCCTGGGGGATAGAGGTGCCAGAAGGAGTGTATGTGTTTTGTCTCTGTGGAGTGCAGCAGAGCTGGTAAAAGCCTTACCTGAACAGGTATACTACAGAGGAGATGAGAATGACGACAACAACAGCACCTGCCAAAACTCCCACAACAATGGCGACCGTATAGTCCTTTCTCTCTGTTGTTTCATCTGTAGCTGTTTGATCTGAASAAGAAACAGGATCTTTGTCAGTGAAAGCTAACTAATGCAAACAGAAGCTTTTTCTTAAGCACCACGCTGTAATCTGAGCAATGAGCAAACATATCTGGTTCTAGCCAGAGGCATCCATGTGGCATTTTAGATTATTTTCTTTGAAGTGGACCCCAGCCTCTGTCACAATTTCATGCCTGATGCTTGTTTCAGGCTTGAGCCAGAGCATGAGCTGATATGTGGACAAAATGAATGGCTGGGGACTGTGGGCTAGGTTTGGGGTAGGTTTGGCCAGAGCCGACTGATGTAACAGTAAGACATGTCCACTCAGTCTGTGGTGCTCGAGAGCAATCCTTACCCTCAGGAACAGTGTCAAGGACTTGTCTGGAACTACAWTCAATAGAAAGGTTTATGGGTCAACCACTCTGCCTTTGATTAAATCACAAAATGCCCATTATACAATGAAGTCCTAATCTGATCTAACATCTGCTTCTCTTCGTGTGTGTAAYGCTGCCAGTGAAATCCCAAATAATTTTGTTACCTATTCGTTCAGTCTCACAGTGGGTTCCTGTGTACAGTTCTGTACATTCACAAGAAAACCTAGGAGAAGTATCATTGGTAATCTCAGAGCAAACTCCATCGTTCTGACAAGGACTTGGCATACACGGTCCACCTAGCAAAAAGGAACAAGAAACACATCAGAATCTCAGATAATCCAACACTGAACTGTTCTTTCTTAGCATACACTAACTCTAACTTATGCTAGATATGCACCATATTGCGTAAGGCCCATTCTTTATTTTGTACATGACAACAAGAGTGGAGGAAACAAACACTGTTTCTAAGATGAAACATCACAGCAAGATCCCCAGTATATTTATAAAGGGATTTTCTTCTGTTCAGATTCTGTTGCCACYATCTCAGACTCAGTGATGAATTCTGCTGTATTAAAAGCAGTAAGTCAAGACTTCTTAGTGCCAAAACAAAGTGACAGGGTTAGTAGTTGACTTACTTCTATAGCACCCACGAGTATAGTTTGAAATGCCACAGATATCTTCAGCTSCACACCCTGTGTTAGAGCAGGTGACAGTGGAGCTTTCTGTGCAATGGCATGTCTGAGAGCAGTCATCAGTGACGAATGTTTCTCCAATCTGGAAGACAACAGTTAAACTTTATAAAACATCAAATAACATCAGCCATAAAGACATGAATGGAGCACTGGGGCCCCATGTTATGCTCTTCAATACTTTTTCAAAGAGAAACCTGTGAGATTATGAAGCTGTTTAATCTGTTCAGTCCTTCTGCTAAGGGAAGATACGCTGTACCCCTTGGGCTCTCTTTTTCAGGCTCTCTTGATGCTCCAGTCAGCTTTGCAGAAACTCGGTCCTGCCCCTTAACACCTTCAACAAGGACAGGGACCACTGTGACTGACAGAATTTCTCTATAACTGGTTTGCTGTAAATTTAAGAGCCTATTAGGCCATTACTTAGAGTCATAAAGGTAAAAAATTAGCATAGAGGTCACAGTATAATCATATGCTTCCCCCAAATGCTTGACTTGAGTTTTCAGACAGGCAGAGATTCAGAGGCACACCAAGTGCTCAACTTGCTCTCTGCCTCCTCTAGATATGAGGAGATTATTCTCAACAAATTGCTCTTTGTTTCTGTACACCAAGGAGAATGAAGAGATGSTCAAAATATTTAGCAGGAGAAAATATTGCTTGGCACTGTGGAAACTGTGCAGCTCACGCTGTACGTATCAAGTACGTGACACCATACCTCATAGTATTTGTCAAGGTATGTGCATCCACACTGTCTGAAAGGCACGCAGTCAAAACCGCTGAGAACGTAGCCAGGGAGACATTCACAGCCTTCCACACAGGGCGAGTCGCACTCGGAGGGGCTGGTTAGGTCGGCACAGGATGCTGGGCAYGCAGACATGCATGAGCTGTAGTTGCTGTTGGCAGGACAATCCATTGCTGTAAGGAGAGTAGAGTTAGTTAGAACAGTTAGAACAACTGTGTGTTATTCACACATTCTCTTTCCAGCAYCAAAACATGTCACCATTTTGTAAGAGGCAAAAGGCTGAATAAAAATACATGGGGATAATCTAAGGTTGTATTTCAAGCACCGCAAGGTCAGAAAACGCACTGTCAGAAGTTATCCGTGTGCTRTATCCCACTTGTGGTGTTCACTGATCTCAAATCATTTCTCACACACGCAGGGTAGCCATTCCTGTAAATACTGGAGGTTTCATGGTTATGGGAAGTGTGTTTGTTGCAAATTCATCAAACTAGGAGTGACAAGTAGAGTTTGTGGAAACTCTGAGTTTGAAAAAAATAGTTAGGGAAAAATAGGTTTGAGGTTATTTGTGAGATTTATTCCTGTATTCTTAAGCCTYGATGACCTGGGGGGGTTGTACTGCATCTATTCTGAAATCTTGTACACAAATAATAAAAAATAGCAAATTCTGTAGATTTAAAGAGATTGAAAAGCAATGTCTTGAAAGCTTTCCTTCATATTTTCATTTGCAGCAGCACTTTTTTTTTTCTCTCTCCCTCCAGCTAGGAGTGGGAGCAGTTTTTTGGTGGTGGTGTTTTTTTTTCTCTCCCACAGAAGCTCTGACTGCTCTGTTTTCCTAAGTAAATTTCGAGGCTGGGGCTTAAAGGTGAAAAGGCAGCATAAGATTCTGACAAAGGGCCAGAAGAGCAAATGTGCATCCTAAACTGTGAGCAGTAATGGAAGTGCAATTCAACATGCTTTCAGTCCCCGAGAAGCTTTGATACATGGTGACTCTGTACCAGAAAAAGGAAGTGTTTTTTGAACACAGCTCTGAAACCCAAGTTTGAGAGTCCTTCCTAGATAGAAACTGTGTGTTCTAGTTCGCCCTGTACTTACCACAAAGTGTCTGTTGCCTCCAGCCTTGCATCGTGACTCCTTGCTCCTGGCAAGCCAGTGCATACTGCTCCAGACTGCGACATAACGTAGCATGGTCATCTCCTTCCACACACATGTCAAAGAGGCAGCTCCTGTATGCAACATGAGAAATCATTTATTCCCAATAAATTTGTTATAGCTTACTTTTAGCTGCTTTCTGCCCTTACTCTGAGCTCCATTTTCCTATACTTTGATGGCAAAATAAAAGAAAGAAGAAAAAATCTCAAATCCTTGGAAGAATGTGGTCATTTCTTGTGCAGCTGCTGCTAACATGCAAAATTTTCACGTATACGTGAGTAATAAAAAATATCTGACAGATTGTTACAGTAAGATATTATTCTTTGCTATGGGGTTCTGTTTCTGGTGACATCTTGCTTAGAAAGCACTTAGTACTAAGCTTTGTATCTGGATTACAAACTTCTTTCACTCTTTAAGCAGCCTCTCCACGACCATATATCTTGAATATCGACATAGAATTCTTGTTTGACCAGTGCTTATTTGCTAGTGCTCCTTTCTTAACTTTGCTCATCATCTGATTGTTAACAGCCTGATTTTCAGAGGCATTGATAACTGAGGTCAATGGGACCTKCAAGTCCTGCATAAAAATCACATAGTTACTAGAAAGTTAAAACAGGCTAACCAACCAAATTCTAAACCAAWCTAACCAAATTCTTGTCTAAAGACAAGAGAAAAGCAGGCATTCATAAAGAATCAGTATATAAGTCTCAAAGTCAGTGGTCCAGTTTGGCTAAAGATACCTTCACATTCCTCTTGGACTAAGAGCCTGGAAGTGGACATTAGCYGTCTTTAAACACTAGGTACAATGATATGACTAGGGAAAACTGGCAACTACTTGGCATATTTGTGACTGATGAAGAATTAAGGTGAGGTGACTCAAAATAGTTCATCTGGTTCAAAAAGGGATATGTAGGAATTAGCTATGCAGTTCTTGTGGACACCAAGGTAATTAACTCACTAAATTCACTAACTGTTTTTGGTACTTCCCCATGCAAGACACAAGAAATGTCACTGCCAGCTTCAGCCCTTCTGTTTATAGCATAAAGGCTACATCTTACTATGCTGGAATTGCTAAAATGAATCTAATGGTGCCAGACACTAAGTTCTCTGTGAATGCAGATAGAAACTTTAAGCCCATTGGAAATCTTYCAAGTATAAGGTTTAATATCGATGGACATTATGGAGCCGAACTTATCCTTGATTCCTACTTAATATTCCTGAAACTGAAGATGCATAGCTCTTCTCAGGACAAAAAAAATGGATATGGGGTGAACCGTTTTCTGCAGCAAAGACTTACGTGAAATAGAAATCAGGTGAGACAATAGAATGGCAGTTTACAAAAGGACCGTTTGACTCGGTCAGAATTTGACATCTGGAAGTGGTGTTTTGYTGTCCCAGTGTGGTTTCATCACAGCCTTGGAAAAGCCCTGTTTCTGGTTCCTCCTCAGAGTCATCTTCTGTAGAGACATCTCGTCTGCAAGTGAAATCATCATGAAACCATCAGTTCTCAGAACAGCATTCACGGTGTTACTCTCTAAATTAAAGATCACAAGAGTATTTCTGCATTTATGACAGAAGCGAGAGCTTATTTCTATCTCATGGGTTATCATGAATGTAAGGGTACACAAAAAGCAAATCAATGAAGTACTATAACACCATCTCAGAAATTTGTTTTTCTTCAAACCAAAAGGCATAGCTGCAATTGTCTCTTTGGATATTTTGTATGACAGGTTTCATCCAATGTCTCATTTCAATAAACCTTGACTCTTAACCAAAATGAGGCAGCTGTAGTAGGCCAGCAGTTCCTAGGAGATACGCTCACATCCACTGAACAGCTGGCTGCAGGCCTAGTGTTCTCTTCTAGGCATAGCCTCCAGAGCCTGCTTCTGCTTTCTACTGTTTTATTACACAAGTTTTCACAGTTAGATAATGTCCTGTCAGCTAATGCAATTCCATTTACTTGCCAAAAATGTTCTGAGTGGCCAAGCAACCTCCAAAGGCCTTTCAAAACAAACTGAGAAGGCAGGAGAAGGGAAGGAAACTTAGTTCCCTACCTCTTTCAATTTATGTATGGACCAATTAGTGCAGAATTGGCCTGACCACAAATACCACACTCATTTATACTCAAAAGATTGTCCTGGCTTTCTTTGTGCTGGCAAGAAAGAGAATCAGACTATTAAGTAAGAAATCAGACTATTAAGAAACTTCTAGGAGAAAATGTGAATTCATCTTGTTGGATTTTTAAGGTTTTTACAGCTTTCAGAAGAAAGGATGACACTGAACCAGTATCTGCCTTTGCTCAAGTCCATTCAGCACAGTATAATTTACTTTAATTTGCCAGGACCCATGAGCCTGACACAAACCTAAGCCATCACTGTGCCCCAGTTGTTACAACAGCTGTGARCCCAGAGGAGGACAGCAATCTGGAATAATGCATAGACAGAAGAGCACTGATAGTTCACCTTTGTGATGAGAAGTACACACAGAACAAGGCAAGAAGGATGAGCAACAAGGCGGTGTAGCAGTTTTGCTGGGTTTTAAATATGGCTGTATTCATTGATTTCCAGTGGCTGTGCCTACTGTAGAAATTAAATAGAAAATGAAGTACCTCTGACGAGAGATTCTTTTGACAGGAACTTTCCAGCTCTCACCGAAAACATTCACGTTCCTCACCCGAACACCATCAGGATTAGTGAAGTCATTCCTGTATATCCCATCAAAGTTGCCACACAAGCCTTCCACTCTGTTCTTGTAGGTGTTGGCCAGCTTTATTTCTAGAGAGGTCAGAAAAAGAAAAGCCATTATACAAAATCTTTGCCGATAAGAGTATGGAAGAAGTGGAAATAAGTGTTACATAGCCTGTTCCATGAGGCAGAACAAGAGAAGGGAAAGTGGCGTGAACTCTGTACGTAGGAGATGAGCATAACACTGAAAACTGGCCATGTGTATATTCACAGAGCTGTTTCTTTGCTCCCTAATCACTAATTTTAAGTGGTCTCCTTTTGCATTTATCATTCATGCCTTACTTTATATAAGTAACCTTAGGACAGTCTGTATGCACATCTCATTTCTCCTAAAATCAGGTTGATCTAGACAAAGAAATGCCAATTTTATACATCCTCTGGTTTCTGGAACTTCGTATGACACTCACAGGCTCATAAGATGAAGATTTATAATTTTTTCTTTTTGGAATGAGAACATTTCTCAGACAGTACATAAATATCTCTGCATATTTTCCTAGCACCACTTACCTGCATTTTGACTGCCATCAAAGCTCAAGTATAAGCCAAAATCTGTCTCCAGATAAATTCTTGTTGCTCTCTGATATATGCGAATACCTTCATGAGGACGAACAGGGGGTATCACTCTCACACCATCCAACTAATAGGGAGAGAAAAAGTTAAAATTCATTATTATATAGGCCAAATTCAAATGTAGTTTCAGGACAGTAGGTCAATGCTACAAATAAACACTCCTCCTCTTTGGTTTCATGCTAGACATATTACGTATCAGATAACCAGAAAAACAAAAAAAAACCCAAAACAAACAAACAAACTCCACAGTATTACAGTATTCACTTTCTTGAAAGAATAAAGTCACTTATCAAAGTGATCTCGACACAGTATTTTCATATCATCCTAGGAGATTTCTATTATTGAGCTATAAACTGTGTATATGAGCTAATGTATAAATTTACGTGCTAATGAAGAGGAAGGAAACAGAATTTTACAAGCCTATTTCTCATTTTTAGTTTTCCCTGGCACTGATAAAAGAAAGAAAATTGGCTTTATTTATAAGTATATAAGACTTACATATTTATAAGTCTTGGGCTATTTGGTGTTTTACTCCTAAAACTATTTTTTTATTTGTTTTAAATAGAATATATTGCTTGCAGTTATAGAGGTAAAAAAACATAACAGGTGCTTAAATCTGAAAGAATACAAAAATTWAAAAAAAACTCATGGCATTCTTTTCAAAAGCATTTCTAATTTTTAATCAATCTCCATCACGCTATGCTTGCTATTAGTATTTCAGTTACTGTTATTTTTAATTCAGAGCTGATTAGAAATTCAGCTCTGAAATGGATATTTTCTGCAGCTCCCTTGAATATTCTTTATTCTGTTCTTCACACCTCTAAAATGTGTTCTCTGATGCTCGTTTCCCTGCTTTTCAAGGTGCTGAGAGGAACTTGTCTAAAGTACATAAAATATTATGATTGTGATGCTGATGTGCACCCTTTCTTACACTTACTGAGCTCTGGTACAGCTCTGCCTGCTCCACAAAATTCCTGCTAAAATACAGGTCAGTATCTGCATCCAGAGTCATTCTTGCATCTAAATTTAGATTTCCTTCAGGTGATGATCCATGATCCATGTTCCATTACCACATTGCAGGATTCTTAATCTTTTGAGGTCTCTCTGGTACAGTCTCAGGAATTTTGCTACAGCAGGAAGCTCTAAACTTCACAGTCAGTCCATCTTACAATAAATTCCTCTTACCATTTTTCCATGTCCTCACATTACTCCCTTCCTATCTCATTTCCAAGTTTGCATGTTATTCCTCATTTCCTATTCTGATTAATAAGATGAGCTTAAGACAGGAGTCACCCTTGTTTGTGAGGGACCCAGCACAACTGACACCACAGTTTTGGCTGCCCCATAGCACTGCTGTACAGTTTTAATATTAAATACTTCAAAACAGACATTTATCATTCAAACTTGTATTGTACCAGAGGAGATGGAAGAGCATTTTGTCTGGGTACTGCAGTGAGAGACTTACCAGAACCTGCTTCTTCTGTCTGAATCGCACTGTATGACCATAGACATTGATGAGAATCTCCTTGAGGTAAGTTATGTGTCGACTTAAAGGAAGAGGATTGTTCGTGCCCTCAATGCTGAACTGTGTCAGAGTATCAGGAAGGTTAGGGATGGTCTGTGCCAAAATATACTTGTATTTCCCTTGGAAGTGGTGCACTAAGCCATCAAAGGTGGTGTAGTGTGGATCACCCATGATCCAGCATTTATTAAAACCTAAAAGAGAAGAGTTTCATTATCCTCCAAGTCTGAATGCCCAATCCCCCACATGCACCAAGTTATGTTATAAAAATTCCAATTTACTTGCAGCATAGGGGATTAACTGTAGCACAATAAAGAAGATCTCACAAAATCCTATCTAAAGGAGCTATTGGATGAAATGCACCCAAGTTCTTTCATTAGAATATTTACTTAATACCTGTTCAGATCTGCTCTATCCTGACTTTTAAAGCTTCATTTTTTCTTCTGTTCTCAGATCCGCAAACAACGAAGAGAAAAGGTTAATTGTAAGAGGATTCAAAGATGTATCTCAATTTTATTTGTAGTAGATACAGTACTAATCTCTTTTCTTTGCAAACTGATCAGAATAAACTGCCAATTTTCTAGAGGTACACATATTTTCAAACTATTGTTTTGCTTTCCTCTACAGATTGTGTATCTTGTACTAGAACTTTCTGCTGTGAAAATCAAAGCTTTTTTTCCCATTCAACACTGGCAGACCCATCTGCCTTCCCTTGTAAAAAGGCTGGAAGTGTCATGGAAGAAAGACTGGATAGCCTCATCTTTCTTCCTCCTTGAACCTTTATGAAGCACCAAATGAAGAGCCCCTTGCACCTACCTGTTGGATTACACTTGTGTTTTCCATTTTTGATCACACAGGTTTCTTGAGAGTCACAGGCATAGTTCTTACACGTGATGACACCATTCTTCTGACATTGGCATCTTTGAGCACAGTGTGGAGTTATCCAAGTTTCTCCAGCCTGGACACAAGTTACATTAATAATATTACCATGGTGCTCAGCTTTACAGTGTGATAGAAGATGAATAGTAAGGGCTTGAGGGGTTGGCTAGATACAACTTGTCCTGCTGCTTGTTCCACAACTGCCTAATCTAGGCATAGTCYAATCAAGAGCCTGGGACGTGGGGAATCAAAGTCCATTTGCCTTACTGACTATCTTGAGAATAGATAGACTGCCTCAGTAACTCTGATCAAAGTATTGGTTTTCAACATGTCTCAATTTTGGCCTCATATGCAAAGCACCAAGCTTTTGCAGTTGTTCGTAACTGACTCTGCATTTTTTTCTACCCCGATCAAAGATAACTAAAGATTTCTCTCTCTCTCTCATTTGGTCAGGTTTTGCAGCCAGAGATTTGTTCCACAAACTACTTACACTGTAGTAGTTGTTGTCATCATCCCTGCAGCCACAATTGCCCAGAGGTACACACTTGCCATTGCTGAGCACATAATTGTCATCACACTCACAGCCCTCAGTGCACTGTTCTGTCTTCTCACAAAGGGAAGAGGCAAAAATGTCATTGCATGTTGACGGGCAGGGGGAAACACARTCTGTGTAATGGCTGTGGGTTGAACAAGGCAGTGCTGTGTGGGTGAAGAAAATAAAAACAGTGTTATTAAATACACTTAGAAAGCAGTACTGCAAACACCTATCACTGCCTGAAAGCTAGAACTTAGCCTGCAAATTGGTAGTGTTGGATTGCCTTTTATTGGAGGTTTTTCATTATCCACTTTTGAATTTTGGCTCTAACGAAACAAAAACAGAACACACACACACGCAAACAAACAATTAAAACAATAGTTCAGGGAGTCCTTTCTGGAGCTCTTCAGTTCTATTACACATGTGTCTGAGCTGGTGGTACCTGGACAATTCAGATTCGTATTCCAGCTCAGTGCTGCAAATGCCTGTTTGGCCATGTTGTTGAAAATGTGAGTAATAAGGGCAAATTCCTTAGAGTGCTGAACCCTCCAGTGACATAAGGCAGGTATTAATTAAGTTCGTTTAACCACAAACATAAACRTATACAAGAACAATCTACGCATGGTCTAATTAGAAGCTCTTCTAGCTCTATACCCTATTTCTGCCAATGACTAAAGATGCATAAGGAGATAAGTCAAGAAAGACATTAGCAGAGGGTCCATTTGTCCTGCATTCTTCCCCTTGCCTGTTGGCAAGTAGGAACTTCTGATGGACCTATTCAGCATTCTTCTGGATTRCTTTCTAAGCAGTGAACTGTTTTAGCCTCCAAAACACTGGGTTACAATTAATTCCACAATGTAAAGTTAAACTGTGAAAATAATGAATACCGTGTAATCTTTATTAATTACACAATTAGTTTGTGGTTTGTTGAATGGGTGGAATGAGACATGTACACCGGAGATTAATCAGAGAACCCAGACCTTAGTAAGCAACTGGACAAATCTTCACTCAGATGCTAGTCTTCATTCAGATCACATTAAGTAGTATTGAGCCCCGAGTTCTAATACAGTATCACAATTTCTTCTAGTCTTCTTGTTGTACTATGTCTCATTGCAATTTTAGACTCACTGCAATATCTCACAATATCTATTTGGCTACTAAAASTAACTCCACATTACTTCCCACAGCGTGTCTAGTTCTAAGTTACCACTGGATTTAGCTCAACAAAGCTCAATGCAGCAATGAAGTCTTAAAATCACAGATAATAGCATTGCACTTTGTGAGGATTTGGATTTAATTAACTTTTACATAATTTGTCCAGCTAATACTGCTAATTAATTTTCATGCCAATTAATTTCCATGCCATCAGTCATCCCAGGCTGTAATTTTTCACTCGCTTGTGCACTTACGACAGAATGTGCTGTTCCTCCATTTAATGGTGATGCCTTCATTCTTACAGTTATCCACATAAACTTGAACTATGTCGCAGAGAGTTGACTTCATGCCATCGTACTGGCACATGTCATAGGTGCAGATCTGTACGAAGGGTTCAGGGTTGACTAGACTGTGACATGGTTTGAATTTGTCTGATTTTAAGACATTGCACTGGCTTTCAATGACTGGTTTATTCTCAGCAGTGCAAGGAGGAAGATCATCTTCTCTTGAGTCTGAAAAACAGCTGCATGAAAGCATAAACACAGTTAAATTTGAGTTTCAAAGACTCAATATGTAAAACTGAGACTGAAAGTGGCAAATCTGATTCCAAGAGGTACTAAATAACCAACCCTAGAGAATCTCATCTTTCTATTCAGAGTAAGGGGAGAAAGGACAGTAAGGAGAAAGAGTAAGCAGTAGTGGTGCAAACTGTTATTACTTCATCAATACTACTTGTATTTTAGTTCTGCTCTAGTGGGGACTATTCAAAGAAATATAGCATAGTTTTAATGTCCATGTAGTCCATTGATCTTGCAATGTGTCAGAGCACTATTAACATGAAAAAAAAATCTCAGCTATATGTGCAAATGATCCATTGGATACATGCGCTTACTTTTCAAAAAAAAAAAAGTTTGAAAATATCGTATGTGTGATTTGTGGCTTGATTTATTGTTACAAGGAAGATAAAAAAAAAAGTTAAAAGGTTTTAGATGCTTATCTGATCTTTCCCTTTCTCTTTCCCCATCTCTCTGGGCCATGAATGCTCTAATAGACTGTACTGGTCCTGACTAGTCCTTCCCAGGACCTCCTCCCACACAGGCCCATGGCCCAGGACGCCAGTTCAGCCCAGACTGGAGAGTTCAGTCCCTATGCCAGCTATGCCATAGCAGTGCCAGTCTCCAGATGTGGCCTGTGTGACCACAGGCCGCATTGTTCTGGACCCTGACTGCCCGGCTAGGCTGAGGCCTGGCCCTATTACTGTGGCCCTGTTTGGACATCATGAGGCTGTATTTGACCCTGGGTAACCTCACTGGGCCTGATCTGGCTCCTGACCAGTTGCTCAGCCTGGCCTTAGATACCATCACCACGGGCCTGCTAAGTCATCCCTGGGCTGTGTCTGACCATGGTTGGCCTCATCAGATGAGACTCTGACAAGTGGGTGTCCCAGCTTGACTTGTGACCTGTCACTGCAAAATTGTCCAGTGATCTGGACTCTCACTTGATCCTGGTTGCCATTCCTGGTCTGTCCTGCTCCCCTTACTCAAGTACTATGGGTGGTCTCTGGTTGGTGATTCCCCTGTCTGGCAAGCCATGTTATCATGCTAAGCTCCTCATCTCAGAGAGAAATTGGTTCTCACTGCTCCCCAATACCATTGCTCTGCTTTAGGTGTTTTCAGTGTAGAATAGTTTATGTCCACCATAGACTATGTCCACAGTGTAGACTGCCTCAAAGCCTAACTCCCCAAGTGTGTACATCAAGAAGTGGGTTGTGGTTTGCTTCTGGCCTGTGCAGTGGTTTCCTATGGTGATGGCTTTTGTTTGAGCTTCACACTGAAGAGAGAAATCTCATATGCACTATCTATGTGTTGCAGACTATCAAAATAGCCAAAACAGATTATTATTTGAGATTATTTCTCAAAGAATGATATGAAAAGAAGTCACATTTACCCTTCATCACTGTCTTCTTCCACTTTCCAGCTATTTCCAAACTGTATGGCATCAACAACTGTACCATTGCGCAAGGTCAGATCATCTTCAGGTTTGTCATTGAAGTTACCACACATACCATGTACCTGGAAGTGAAGAACCACCATATTCTAAACATTATCTTTTCTGTCTCAGCTTCCCAATGAACTATTCATTGAGAATGGAATGACATAGCCAAATCATTATAAACAAACATATTGCACCAAACGCTTCAGATCCATTTGCTAATGTCTGTCTGCACCAGGGAAGAAATAAAATAGATACTGCAATATATTTGTGGTCCCCTAAGACTTCAAAGCATTTAATTTTAAAGCCACAGTGTATTCCTTGTAGCTAACTGTCATGTACTCAGCCAGCTGGGTAATTTTATGTACCTATCTCAAGGACACAAGGAAAGAGTTATTTACAAGACAAAAAAGAAAAAAAAAAGACTTATGTGTTACAATATCTGCTACAAAAAGGGATACAACAGCAAAACACAAGAAAATGAGAAATGAAAAGTCAATACACAAGGCAGCTGTTTTGAAACAGTGACTGTACGGTTACATATTAAATCTTACCTTTAAGAAATAAGACTGTGGGAGGGTGATTTCCAGATGGTGATTGCCATCATATTTCACTACCATACCGAAGTCAGTTTCCACCACTATGTATTTGCCAACATTTCCAACAGACACACCTCGCAGCCGGTTTTCTACTGGAGTGTAGACCCTCTCACTGTTCAACTGAAGACAGAAGTTGTTTGTCAGTATCCTCTCCTGTGAAAGCTTTTCTGCGCACATTTTGTATTCCTTGTAGGGCTTCRGACTTCCTAGCGGCAGTTTCAACTGTTTGATAAATGTGCATTCCAATTATGGTAGCTGAGGAGAGCTGGGCAGGATTCGGAGCCTAAGCCTCTACCAGGGAGCTATAAAGCTCACTGGTATTGAGCAAATTCCTACCCTTCCACACAGTGATGTTCAGCCTCAGGGACTTCAATGTATTCCCAGCACTATCCAGACTAATATACTAGGACTGACTCTTCCTTTGCTTACCTTGACTAGCTATAGATGACTGAATCAATAACTGCTATGGAACTTGGGAACTGAATTCTTTAGTTGAGACAAATGTTCTCATATCTGGAGACTCTGGTCTCCAGCTTCAAGATACTGTATCAGATGTCTTGGGTAATTGAGAGAAATTCTTTTTCTCCACAATATCAAATTAACTGAAATATTCATGAGTGTTAACAATATGTGTGCATATCACTTAGCAAACATGAAGATTTTTTTTTGCACAACTACTGCWTTGAGCACTTTTTGCAAGAACGAAAAGATCATGTACCAGGATTCCTTGGTTTTTCTGAAGGGTGATTCGTATGTCGTACACATCTATGTAGACTTCTTTCAGGTATGTGGCTCCTCTTTTTCCTCGGTCTTCATTCTTGCCACGGATGGTTACAGGTGTGATACTGTTCTTGTCCAATACCTCAACCAAAGTGTAGGTGCAGGTACCCACAAAAGTGTACATCACCCCATCAAAGGTGAAATAATGCGGATCCCCTGCCACCTGACATGTCCCTTGGCCTGAAGATGGAAAAATGTATTCAATGACTTGGGTTGGATTTCATGACCGACTCAGCTGATCAAAGATGTCTGCACTAGTGCAGGAACCTCATCCTGACAATTATTATGTGGGAAAACTTTCAATATCATGTATCTCATGATCATGCCAATGACATTTATTTGGAAATAATAAATTTCCAGAAAGTATTTCTTCAATTTAATTTGTTAATTATGTCTAATGTTACAGATTGACAACTTGGCACAAAATGAACCTTTTTAGCCACTTCTATATGCAGTTGTAGCTATGAGATATGTTAGTTGAGAGTAACCCATAGCTTTTCTATTTGATAGTATATAAACACATGATTATACATCTAAATACACAAACATATTTAAGGCCCTTGCAACTATCCTGACTCTCATAATTGCACTTCTCAATTAATTCCAAATGTACAGCTTGTAGCACTGGTGATTTGGGACTAGAATCTCTAAAAGAACTCATGTGATTTTGCAAGCTTTTGAGCTGCATCAGTTCATTCTGATTTGCACTACAATAGAATGGAATTAGTGCTTGCAAGACACATCATCTGTCTTTTCATCTCTTAGCACTATTAACAGCTATCTGTTGGGATTTTGCCATGACATAGGGAAAGGTATCTGTGGGAAAATTAGAAGGAGCAGAAGATTCTAATCATTGAGCTGACCCCAACAACTCSTTGCAGGAAGGACTTACCATTGGAGTGACAGCCCAGCACACCATCCTGAACACTGCATTCCTCTCGCACTCCACACTCCCAAGGTGTGCAAACAATGTTGTTATTCGCTTGGCAGGTACAGCGTTCAGAGCAGGTATCATTGGTGAACCAGCTCTCATCCAGCTGAGACAAAAAGAAAAGTGTAGAAGAGAATTTTATAAGATGAATGGAAAGGTAATATCATAATGAGCAATCACATTTTTAGTATTTGAATGTCCAGGATATATTTATGTGATACATGATCATTATGGCTGCACAGTCCACTGATCAGGAAGGCTGCCAAAGTGAGTTTCAATTTTGCTTTTACTAACAGTGTAAATAATTTTGTTAGTGTTACTAACATTTTTCTTCATAAGGTGCTAAGAAAGGAGATTCTTTTTTTTCTTTTTTTTTTTTTTTTTTTTTNTTTTTTTTTTTTTTTTTTTTTTTTTTTTTTTTTTCTTTTCCCTTCTCCAAATGCCTTTGGATAACTTGCCTGGTAGTAATGGTTTTTGTCATCAACACATCCACAGTTGCTTTCTGGCACACATATGTCTCCACTCAAAACATAGCCCTCTTTACAGAAGCAACCTTCCACTGGTAAAGAACTGCAGGAATCAGCTGCTGGGGTGTTCACACAGGTAGAAGGACACCTGGTACCACAGCTCTTGTAGACACTGCCTCCAGGACAGGACATTGCTAGAGACAAAATAAAAAACCAAGATCACTCAGAATGGCAAAATCATATGAAAAAATGATGGTGCGTTCACTGTTTTCTCCTGGAAATACATTGAAATCTGCTATTCAAAAGCCTAACATTGGAAAGACTTTTCTCACACTGTAGATAATGCATGGTTCTAAGATGAGGTGGACAGACAAAGCAATGAGGGCCACCTTGCACATSAACTCATATAGAATCTTAAACCATTCAGCTCTACTTTTAGCTACTTTTAGTGTAATCCTTGAGTGTGATTAGACTATTGCCTATTTGCACTTGGATCCATAATCTTTTTTTTTTTGAGAATTAAAGACATACAGATCTACTGGTGAGGGCATAGATACTAAAGGTAGCCAAAAGCAGATGCTAAGTGGAGATTAAGTAGAAAAGGAGAGCTCCCTGGTAGCCTACTGGAAACAACTTTGGAAATGTTCAGAGTCCTGAATCTCACTAATAAATAGCAATAGACAGCAGAGAGGCTATGGATTATGGGAATTCTAAGATAAACCCCGTTTAACCATTTTCCTAAGCAGTTACAATGTGCACAGCTGTGTCATGAGGGATGCAGTTTGCTGAGGCACAGCAGGCAGGCTCTTCAGAGCCTGCGGGCAGTTTGGGACACTAAGGAGAGAGCTCAGAAGGAGCTGGTCACAAAGCTTGGGCTGGCCAGAGTAGACATGTGTCTGCAGAAGGGACCCAGGCTTTTTATGGACAGTTGTTTTCATGTGCATCTAAAACTCATTTTTAACAATATAGTGAACAATGGTTAGTTTCATAGACCTTTATTTGGAACCCCAGCTCTACAGGCTATAGGCATTTAAAGATTAAACAGAGGATGTCCCCCTCCTGAGCTCTGTTATTTCCTTGGTACTCAGGTCACTCAATTAAGAGAATAAAAGAATCTCTTCACATACTACCTGATATGGCCCCATTACTGTAGTTACTATTTGAACACATGGCACATATTTAAAAATAGAACTAAAAATCAGACTTTTACCTTTCATCTCGAACTCCCTGAGGAAATATGTTATACTCTCATATACCTCCTGCTCACAGCAAAATTTGGTTTCTATCTATCMGTGTACTCCTCATGGAAAACGTTCCATCTTACAGAGATCTTCAAGCATTTGCCCATTTCTGTGATCTGAAAAGACTAAATTTCTGTCTACGTTCTGTCACAAATCGCCACATGTGATTCTCATTGACTTCTGCTCCTGTAGCAGGACCTCTTAGTTCTCTCAGACAATTACAGCCAACTTCTCCAGACATCTAGTCAGAGTACCTGCCTCTTGTCAGGTTCCCASCTGAGCTTTTGAGTTCAGTATTTGAATTACTGATGGAGAAAGTACTTGAGAGTCAGTCCTCTTAATGTGATTGAATAATTCTCTTCTCTATAACCATAATCAAGCGCTAGATCTTTAGGCCCTAAGCTATTGCCTCAGAATAAGGAGTTCGGATGTCCATATCCTTAATCTCCTTTGGGTGTTAGAAGCTAATTTCTTGCTCTTTTTTTGTGATGTCCCTATATGCTACGCCATCCCAGCACTGACACATGGTTTGGCTTCAATGCCTGTTGGTCCAGATTTGGCTACAGAAGATTTTAGGATCTGCAATGCACTCTTGCAGTGACTTTCAAGAAACTAAACCGCAATATRTGCTCCTGAATAATTAGACCTGAATATACCCAGAAGTTCATGAAAATTAGTCTTTTACACAAATATTGGAATAGTACTGAAATTGAAGCAGGATCAAAAACATGACAAAAGACAGACTATATCCAAGCATTGTATAAATAAAATAACATACATGTAGAAGAAAATCTACATACTTTGAACTTTTAAGCAGGAATAGATATTTATAAATCWCAGTACTCACGGCAAACTGTAGGTTTTCTCCACTCTATGCATATCCCAGCATTGGTACATGACTCAGCATAGGCCTGCAGACCATAGCATAAGGATGTTGCCTGTCCCCCAGTGTAACACATGTCATAAACACAGTTTTCAAAGAAATTCTCCGGAGGCACTTTGGCATGACAATCCTTGAAGATTCCTGAGTAAACCAAGAAGGGGGAGGAAAAAAAAAAAAAAAAGAGAGAAAGAGAGAATGATAAAATTCATCAGTACCACTGCCTGTTCCATTATAGAAACATTTGTGTAATYTGTATCAGGCTAACTTTGTTTAGTAAGCCATATCAACAAATGAAACTAAGCACACATAATGAGAGCTGGCCCTCTCTACCATTCCTGTTTCTTCTTTTTAAATAAGTAATACATCACAGCGTACATAAATCAAGAGTTGGCAGCTAGGCAATCCTCTATTTCAAGATACCTGCAGGTGGGATGGGGTCGTTATTTCAGTGAACCTCTACAGAATACGATAAAGTGTCTATAGTACGTGCAATGTCAGCACCCTTGGAACTATTTCTCTAAGAGAGCAGAGTACAAGTCATTAGAAATCAAGCAGTGACTATGAGTCTCTCATCATTGTTATCAGATCTCTATGGACACACTGGCTTATCTGAATGGCTGAGTTATCATGACCAAGCAGGTATTAGTTTTATGGTGGTTATTGGTACTGGACACTTTATATGCTTTCAAAGTAAGTTCAGAACAATGGGCTAAGCAGAACAGAAAATATAAGCTGTAGTTTGCAGTGCACTTCATCACATAGCTCACAGAACTACTAAAATACTACCTTCTGGGTCTGTGATCATGCCRCATGTTGTGTTCTTCTTTGCTTCACTCTCCAGCACAGGGTCACATTGCTCTTCTGTCCCAACAGAGCATCTGAGTAAAGCAAGGATAATGGATAATAAGGTCTTTGTTTCAGAGCTTTTAGCATCAGGTTTTAAGGGAAGATTGGCACATGATAGTTCTGCACAATAGGGAGCATTTTGTTAGTCACAAGCCTATCCAGCTTCTTTGAAAGGCTGATGTCAGCCTTTTCTCTGAATGAACTCCATTTTTGATGCTTTTTAGAATATTCAAAGGCTCATTCTTAGCTGCCCTAAGCTAAGGTGAATGATGGGATCCAATTAGTTATGATTTCCAAGCAGGGAATCGGTTTGAAGCCCCCTGCTTCTACTCTACAGACACGTCCTACTTGAGTACAAGACTTAAAGCACACACTCCCTCTTCTCATTCACTGTATAACATAAAGGGGAACCCCCCAAACTTCAAATAGGCGGTTGGAAGTATTTTTCAGATGCCAAGTGGTGCTGTATGACAGAGCTGGTGATTAGATAGCTGTTMGGTTTTACCAAGTTTGATTAGAAAATGCCATGAGATTACACTCGTGTACATACATGGTGTTATTCTCAAAGACAAGCCAGCTTTGTCCAAGATCAGTGGAACTACTTGCAGTATCACCATTAGGCTTTATGTTGTCATCATTTGGATCACCATTGTAATTGCCTGTGATGGTAAAAAGAGATTTATAGGACATATACATTTAAAATTTGTAAAAGAAAGTTAGTTTTCAGGTTGTAAAATAGACTACAATGAACTGATGAGAATACAAATACAACATCAATGTGTTGTAGACAACATCAGTGTGAAGACAAACTAAGAAGAGCTCACTTGTGTTCTAAACYGTGACTGATGACAGATGACCGGGGCTATCTTTCAGACTTGCAGACTTGAATGAAGGAGACTGTAAATTCTTATCTAACTAGATCACACTACATACAGAAATGAACTGATTAGCTAAACTACCCATTCCCTAATTTCCTTGATCACATCAGTAAAATTTTGGTGTCATCTGCAGCTTGACATCCTTAGATAGGTTTCCTGAATTGAAATTGTTAAACATCTACAGAAACGTAAGTGAATTAGAAAAAAATCAGTTGATCCAGATCAAAGCATACCCAGAAATGCACATAACAAGCTACTCTTGCAGATTCTATAGTCACATTTCTATCCTAAAGCACATTTCATGTAATCATTTGATTCTAGAATGATGCTCTGGAATGTTGATCCAAATGAACGTACTCCGTTTCAGGCATTACTAGCAGCACTGACCACCCTGTACCTTTGTCATTGCTTTGTTTTAATCTGGAAACTATTTGAGTTGAAATGAGGTGCAGGTGAAAAAGGAGCATGTGTAATTTTTTCTTTTCTTAATATTTGATTCTATAAACATGATCATCCAGGATGGATAAACAACTTCTAAAATAGCACAGGAAAACAGCAGGAAGAAAGCTTGAGGATGCTGACAGTGAGCTATTCGGAAGCTAGTTCTCAGCTTATTCTAGAAACAACCTCAATTTTTTATGACTCAGAAAATGAAATAGCACTGCTTACACTCAAAGACAGACAAACACATCAGAATGTAAATAACAGAAAAATATATCAGTAGGATTCTTGAGTAGGTGTATGTAAATTATTATTATTATTATATCTACACTGTGGAACTGAGATTCTTCAGTTGGCAGAAAATATTAGTTATAATTCACAACATTCCAGAGGGAAATGAGGATTGTAAGTTCTGGATGTCAGGAATTGAAAAGTTCCAGTAACTTATCTTCACTGGTATAAATTCTAGTCTATTTGACAGACAGAACTTGTGTATAGTATAAATACGACATGGTAAGAAATAAGTTTTAAATAATCACCAGTCTCCAACACTCATTTAAAAGTGACAAARACTTACCACACAAACCACAAAGCAGACCACTGTAATCAGAGGGCACAGAGACTTCTGCATAGTGGTTTCCATCATATCTGACCCACAGTCCAAAATCAGTTTCCAAGAGAACATATCCACCACTGCTTTGGATAATTATCTTCTTCTCAATAAATACAGGCAGATTCCTTCTGCTGCCGTTCACCTGTACAACAAATTGCAAAAGTCAGTGTGTATGTTGGGGGCTCCTATAACTGCCAACAATGAGCTTCCAAAAATCTAACAAACTAGTTGAGTAAAACATACAGTCTTTTGTACAAGGGAAGTAGAATCAATCATTAAAGAACACTACATCTGGGTCTAGCAGTCATGGGTAAATGTGTTCGAAAGCTCACTCAAATAAGTAATTTAACCAATGAAAAAATGAAAAACAAACAACCATCTGTGASCTCCCCAATCAACTTTACTGCATGCCAGTTTAAAAATATTAAATAGGAAAATAGGTCTCTTGAGCAAAAGTTTTCTTACATTCACTTTCTTGTTTTTCAGCAAAGAAATCTGATTGCCATAGACTTCTACTTGAACTGACTTCACATAAGAGACTCTGGTGTTGGCACCTCTGTGCTCATTTGTTGTAGACACGTGGAAGTATGGAAGCCCCTGAGAGATGTTGCACAATTTTGACAGAGTGTAAGAGCAATTTCCCATGAAATTATGAACTCTGTAGTCGTAAGTGTTATAATGTGGATCCCCAGAGGCACTGCAGGAAGCACGGCCTGTAAAGAAAGATAGAATAATTCCTTATGGATATCTGAAACACTTTTGTAGCCACYGTGTCCCAATGAAACATTTCATTTGTAATTCCTGCATGGATATAACACTGATGGCATCAGTGAGCAACAGAGTGAAAAAGAGTAATGTATATTTTCCACAGAAAGCCGCACTTTTAGCTATCTAGTCTCCTCTTAACCAATGATAAGACTGATGCCTTCAGCACGTATATAGGCACACTGGATAAAGCTTTGAGTGTTCATAAGAAAATGTCTTTTTTAAACTTCCAACAAGAAAATATTAACATCAAATGGTGGGCAAGATGAGCTTATAAATATTTTATGGACTTTATCAAAACTTTTTCGTTTTTCAGCAGTATGTMAAAATTAGTTACACACTCAGTTGTGTCTATATGTGAACATTAACTTCTACTCACATCAAAATTCTGGGAACAATATATGTAATTATCACAAGAATATAAGACAAGAAAAACGAAAGATAAAACTCCTGTAATTAAAAATGTGGATATTTATATATATATATATGTATGAGTGAATAAGAACTAGTGGAAAAAAAGTTCAAAATTCCTTGAATTAGCAATTTAGCGTATTTCCCAATAATTAAAAAAGTCCTTAACAGCACCAGATGCAGAAAAGAAACCATGGTACCTGAGCTGGGCCCGGMTGTTGGTGGCACTGTGTGTGGAGGCCCTGTGGTGGTCTCTGGCAACGGGGTAACAGGTTTGGGTGTTGAGGGACCTACAACAGACAGAGTGGGAGGAAATCGGCATCAACAGGGCAGAATTGCTCCAGGCATACGGTGCACCCCTACCAACCCCTCTGCTGTTCCAGTAACAGGAGAACAAGGCAGGAAGCCAAAGGCGACCCATCAGAAAGAGCCTCAGGAATCACCATGTGCTCAACCAGTATAGTTGGGTGAAGCAAGGAGAAACTCAGGCCATCCACCACAGCTGCTCTGCCCTCAGGTGAAGGCTGTAATGAAGACAAACTGGACCCTTATMCACCAAAAGCAACAAACACAAAAGAGAAACCAYGGTACCTGAGCTGGGCCCGGCTGTTGGTGGCACTGTGTGTGGAGGCCCTGTTGTGGTCTCTGGCAAGGGAGTAACGGGTTTTGGTGTTGATGSACCTACAAAAAACAGAGTGGGAGGAGATTGGCATCAAGAGGGCAGAATTGCTCCAAGTACATGGTCCACACTTCCCAACMCCTCCGCTGTCCCAGTAACAGGAGAACAAGGCAGAGTTCTGACAGTGACCCATCAGAAAGAGCCTGAGGAATCAAGATGTGCCCAACCAGTACACTTCGGTGAATTCAGGAGAAGCTCAGCCCCTCAGCCACAACTACTCGCCACCTCAGCTGAAGGCCAAAATGAAGACACCTTGGACCATTATCCACTAAGAGYAAGACACGCAAAAGAGAAACCCCGGTACCTGAGCTGGGCCCAGCTGTTGGGGGCACTGTGTGTGGAGGCYGGGCTGTGCTATGTGGGTAACAGCCTCTGTGGCCATTCTGGATCTCRCAGACCTCATCCGCACCACAGGACAATGGCGAGCAAACCATCTGGCCGTTGCCTTCACACCGGCACTGGCGACTGCAGTTCTCGTTCACAGAGAGCTCGCCCTCCTGCACACGCAGAAACACAGAGCACCAGCGCATCAGGCAGGGAAAGAGAGGAAAACCAGTGCCCTGGCAGGGACACAAGCTGGCCTAGGCCTTTCACTCACGCTGTAGTAGTTGCCCTCAAAGAGGCAGCCACAGTCGGCCTCGGCCACACAGCTGTCTCCACTSAGCAAAAAGCCGGAGGTGCACGCACAGCCCTCCATGCASGGCTTGGAGCAGTTCTGCGGGGCTTGGCGGTCCACACACGTGGCAGGACAGCCGCTCATGCAAGGGTCATAGTAGGAGTTGGCAGGACACAGCAGGGCTGCAAGGGGAAGAGGACAATTAGGATGAGAAAAGCCCTCCAGAGGAAGGCCTGCTTCCTGGGAAAGGCAAGGCTAGAGCGAGCCATGCTGCGGCCACAGGCCYGGCGCACGGGGCAGGCAGGTTTTCCTTGGCACAACCCAAGGTAGGCACTCACGGCAGAAGGTGGCATTCCTCCAGGGCGCAAGGGTCACGCCTGCTGCCTGGCACGCGTCAGCATAGGCCTCCAGAGCACCGCACAGGACCTCGTGCCCACCGCTCAGGGCACACAGGTCATACACGCA